TTGTAAGATTCTATTCTGTGGTTCTTGGTGGGTTTTGCATATAAATGGATGTTTTCYTTCTCCACCTTTTAGCTCCTGGTCACTCTTAGGTCTCTAGTTTTACACCCTAGCCCATTCTACAGCCTGGYCCAAGCTTGTGCCTTTGCTTTATTTCTCCCTGCGACCTCTCCCCTTGCAGAACGACTCATGGCTGTGCTCAGGAGAGGAAACCTCTGTTTTTGCCAGGTTTCCCTTCGTGCTCCGCGTCCCTGCCGTGTGAGCGGCCGCCGCTGAGCGGCAGCGCTGCCTGGGGAACAGCCGCACTCCCGGGGGAGCTCCAAACCCACGSATGTGCTCCCAGATCCGAGACACCGTGTTCATTTCTCCACTCTGCCTGGATTTTGTGTGTTTGAGGTGGGTCCCTGCTGCCTGTCACGCCATTGTGTGCAGCTKCAGGATGGAATTGATTCTGGAAGGAGCTCTCCCTGCACTGGGCAATCTGGGAGCTGTGGATACGGGGTCCCCCTCCCTGTGCTGGGTGTTTGTGCATCTCTGAAGAGGGGTCTCTCACTCAAACGGATTGTCTTGGACTGGATTACAGCCTCTTTATCCCAGCTTAGCATGTAGGAAATCCCAGAAACAGCCCTGAAGGAGTGCGTTCATGAGAGTTTATCCATGCTTAAAGGTTGCATGGATGCATCCAKTTTTAGTTAAGATTGGTGCAATTTTACAGACAGTGAAACTTTGTGGGGACGAAGGCTCTGCGGTTCTTTGTTTTCCCATTAACTCATCTGGTTGGGAATTGCTGTTTTTTAATTAAAACAGCACAGTACGGACTAGCCCTGAGGTGCTGTTCTGAGGCACTTGCATTCACATCTGCTTTTGGGTAAAACTCGGCCTGTTTGGGGTCAGCCTGTGCTATTGTGTGTCCGAGAGCAGGAGGAAGCAGCGAATCAATCACTGGGGCTCYCTCTCACTGGCGTGTGCCATGGGCAGAGCCCTCTGCAGTGTTCACCTCGCCCTTCCCGGGGGATGTGGGGAATCACAGAGCACCAGGATTTCATTATCTGGCATATGGAGAGCTGAGGGGAGCGCTGGGCTCGGCTTGGAGCCGCTGTTGTTGTTTAAGCTGAGTTTTCCCTCACCCTCTCTGCGTTTTGCTCCATCAGTAAATGGCTCAGTGTAAACTCCTACGGCACAGGCGGGAATGCCGTGGGCACTCGGGCTGGGATCTGTGTGYATCATCTGATGTTTTTTTTGTCCATGTGGCATTTGTTTAGATTGCAGCAAGGAAAAGTAATTTCTGTTACACCACCAGCAGTGCATGCAACACTGACCGCGGCCMAGAGGATGTGGAGACTGGCAAGGAAAAGTTGATTGGGTTTTTTACCCCCTCAGTGAGTGGGGTAGACTTCAGAGAGTTATTTTTAGTTGATGGTAGAGGGGGAAAAGGAGTCTGGGCTGTGTTTAAGATTCTAGCATCCATTGGAAGTACCAGCAGAAGTGCTGAGGGAGATGGTAAATTCCTGTAAAACACTCCCTGCCACCTTCATTAGGTGCTGGGACAATTAACAAGGGTGTTGAAGGGTTGTGCTGCCCACACGAAAAGCAAAGTGTCCGCCCTTGRCCAGGCTGGCCCTGAGCACAGAAAACTGCACACCCACCGCTGACCCTGGGAACAAAGGATCCTCCTGAACCCAAACATGTTTGTGTTAATCCCGGCTGCTTCCTGGCAGGCAGCGAGAGGAAGCGGAGCCACTGCCTCTAACAGATGTACAGTGAGGAGATTACAGGGTGCGATTAAACACCCTCTCCATCACATCCTCCCTCGGCCGGCGCAGCAGTCATGGACTGTCCCAGGCTGCCTGCCAAGCTGGGGCAGATGTAACAGGCAGCAGATACTWAATCTCCCCTCTCCATGCCTGTTTGGAGCTGTTTCCTAAAGCCRAGGGTTCCTCAGAGCCACATCCCTCGCCCCTAAAGCATGAGCTGTACCTGCCTGCCAAGAGGAGAGGGCTGGGAGAAGGCAGGAGAACACRTGGAGTTCACACCATGCAGARAAGATGGATTCAGCTGAAGTGCTGTTAAAACTAAAACACAGGTACCCCTACCTGAGTAGAGAGGGCTTGCTAAGGGACCAAGTGCTGAAGAAGTTGGGAAGGATCTTTGTTTTGATGGACTGAGTTGCTTTTTGGCTGGAMGATTTCAGGGCTGGGAAGGACACATTCCCTCTTTGTGTGAGTTTAGGTTGTGCCTTATTTTGCTGTAGCCAGTCTTGGTGGCAGTAATCTAGGCTGGTTGCAAAAAATCTGTTATTCTATCTTGCGTTTAGGTTAATTAATATGGTAATGGCAGAGTATGTTCCATCATCAAACAAAAAGCTGCCTCTRAAGTAAAAGAACCCTTTGTGGAAATTGTAGAGTTCAGAATTGCCATCGTGTAAGATGTTCAAAATCCTCATCAGCCAAATGAGATGGGTTGGACTCAGCAGATATTAAAAATGATCATTTTCTTGGGCAAGGGCTGTGACTCCAGTTATGGCACTGGAACAGTAGCTGTTGTCTGAACCATGTCCTTCCTCCCCAGTTGTGTGTGAAAGGCTCCAACACAGGGTCCTGGAAGCCCCAACAAAGTGCCCCTGTTTCAGGTAGAATAAGGGGTGAAATCACAGCAGGCTATGCTGGTGACACATCCGTGGTGCATATTCCCAAACCTCCCATGGAGAGGACGTGGCTCAGTCACAGGCAGCAGCAGGTGACACTCGGGAGCTGGGAAGAAGCCACAGGACTGTCCCCTCCAWGGGGTGCACTGGCACAGGCCCAGCTGCCTGTGGCTTTGCAGCTCCTGGAGGATTTGGGGGGGATCCCAGCAATGTGCAGAGCTGTGGTGGCACCCGCTGGGCTGCAGTCACACACAGAGCTGGATACCTCCCATCGCGCCATGCCAGGAATCTCCACGGCCGAGCTCTTCTCTTTCTCCTTGCCTGCACAGAAATCCCTTTCCCTGAGTGCAGGAGACAACTGTTTGGCAAATAACCACAGCCCAGGCTCTGGAGAGAGCATTGTTTCCAATAGCTGCCAGGCTGGAGGCAGGAGCAAAAGGGAAAGACTTGGGACCAGGGTCTAAGCGGCACCATCTGCTTCTGAAGGGCATCATTTCGGCAGCAGGGGAGGCTCCTGGAGTTAAGTAATTGGGAATAGCAGGCTCCTGGCTGGAAAGTGTGCCAGCCCTCCTGGCAAAAAGCTGTTAAATCTCTGTTGCTGGCGTGTGGAAGCGGTTCTGCTGAACAGGGCTCCAGAGGCTCTTTTTAACCCTTGGTGAACATAAAAAAGAAATTACCTAAGGCACTTTTGATCTTGGAATGGCATGTGGCCAGGTGTTGGGAGTAAAGGGGAAGGTGGGTCCTCATGGAGGTATGTGAACAGCTCCAGGTCTGATCSTCCCAGATGTGGCCTGCCAAAAATGCACACAAAATGGTGCCTGTTTTAACAGCTTTAGCAGGAAAACACAGGGCGTGATGAATGATTCATGAGAATCAATAGAACCCGAGGCATTTACTGCCCCTTAAAACCCRTGCCTGCCTGCCAAGGGGTGCATTTGCAAGGTGAGTGATCACAAAATCCTTTGCTGAGMTTTTGGGATGCAGTCACAGGCTTGGCTCCGTGCTTTCTGCAGCCCTTACCCCGCTGTCTGCAAACATGTCCGGCTCACCAGCCAGGCCCAGGAGCCTTTCATTCTCCAGATGAAAGCACGAGCACTTGGGCATCTCCCAGCGAGCACAGATACAAACAAGTCCCCATTTTGCATCCCCCTCCTAGGGTGGCTTCCTTGGAAGCTTTGGCCTTCATCCTGTTTGTCTGATTCACGATCAAAAGAGTGTTTGYTGCCTACGTGTGTCTTGAAGCATTTTCTTCCATCGTATCTCACATAARCGTCCAATTTCTTCATTAAAATAAAATGAAGGTAAAGCAATCAAATAAGATCTGTCTCTGCAGTTGTCGTCTTTTGCTGATAGTGAGATCAGGGCTGGGCAAAGCTCTTTTGGGACCTTTTTTTGGTGTGCAAGGGAAGAGGATGCAGAATAGACAGATGGGTTTTCCTGCCAGGGGGAAGTTGGATTGAAGATCCTGAGCCCCAGCCATCCTGAAGATGAAACAGTTGGATTGTGAAACCTGTACTTTTTTTTCAAGTTTGATCTGAATATTTTTTAATCKTCTTCAAACTAAAGGAAAATCTCTTGTTTGACCCAAAACAAAATTGTTTTCTTTGGCCAGCCAACCTAAAAAATCAGCTCTGATCCCCAGTGTTGGGCCAAGCTCCCTTTCCAATTGTGCCTCCACAGCAATCCTGCTCCATGCAGCTTGACCAGTTCTGGATTAGATCCTTGTTGCTAAAGAGTTTGCAAGAACAGGAGTGTTCAGCCACTTGCTCTTAAGTTTAGTGCAGCTATTCTGGTTAAATCTGTAAATATTTGTTCATATTCCACCTTGGTTTTATGGATGTTTGTCCACGTTCTGTGTTTTTCAGCTGTTTAATCATTTCTTTTGTGAGACTTTACAAAACTATATATATACATATTTTCTTGTGTGCCTGGTGAAGCTGAGGTTTTGATGTAACTGCAAGATTTCCATCGACAGTGGAATTAGAAGCTCTCTGTATGAAGGTGAAGGATTTTGGAGAGGAAACATTTGAACTTGATGTCCTTTGGCASCGCATTTTCACCTCTGCAGTCTCCTCTGGGYTGTAATTTGTGAGCCTGGTAGTTGTCCCATGAGTTTTAGTGAGTTAGGATTTATGAATTCATTTTATATCAATTTTCTTGCACCCTGGCAAGACCCTTGGCTCCCATTATCTGTGGACTTTGGTCTCCAGCAGAGAACAGACCTACAGACCCCTGTACCATCCTGCCAGCTCCATCCTCACYTGAAAACCTGCAGCTTGGAGAGGGAATTTTCACAGTTCTTAAATCAGTTAGTGATGTACTAGGTTTTTTATTTTTCTTTAACATTTTTTATCCTCAGGAAACATGTCGGAAGTGCCAGGGGCTGTGGAAGGAGCACATGAACCTCACCTGCGAGCAGCTGGCTGAGAAGGATGACATCAGATACAGGACATCCATGTAAGTGAAATAGGAATTTTTTCCACAGCTAGGGGCAAACTGGGAGCTGGATGAACTGGCAATCACAGTACACTGCCCCTCAGTTTCTGCTGGAAGAAAGATCCCGGGGATGGCAGAGCTGAGGGGTCAGACGGCTCCCAGGATGGGATTTCTGTCTGTGAAAGACACTTGGCAGCAGATGCAGCTGGTTGGTAATTTGAGAACGTGGGAAAGTTGTCACCAGCCCAGCCTGCTCCTCTGGCTGGCCCGGTGTCTGCAGGCTGGCACCTGGTCCTTCTCTGAGGTGAGAAACCCCCATTAGCATCGCTGGGGGGAGAAGGGAGGTGGTGTGCAAGGCAGAGGAGTGGATTGAGTCACAGCAGGTCGTTATTTCCCTTTGAAAAATGTGGAGTGGAGACCTGCACTGTTTGCTCAGCTGCTGCTTTGTGGGAGAGGATGTGTTTTCTTCCCTGCTTCTAACCAGTCTGTAGGAATTGTTACAGAACAGAGTCTGAAATTTTGAAATACGCAGATGTGAATCCTGATTGTTACCCTGAARTCTTGTGCAGTTTGATTTCTCTCTTAACTACAGTAAATGAGAAAATCCTCTGCSTGTAGGAAACAAGGGAAGTTTCATCCATGTAGCTAAATGTTTGGTGCTAAATGGGACTTGCCCACATTGCCCAATCCTTTCCTCTCTGATTTAGTCTGTCTGGCATGAGTAGAAGTTGGAAGACTCCACCACTGGGATTTGAATGACTGTTGCTTGCTCATCCCACAGTCCCTAATTCAGAACAAAATCTTTACAGATTTTKCTGATCCTTTCCCTGTAGGAAAGAGGGATGAGAGGGAGGAGGAATGAGTTGCGTGTCCCTAATAAGGACAAAAATACCAATTTCAAAACCTGCAGCAGATTGTGTTTGTGGATAGATGAGTCTGACTGCCTGATACAATAAAAACTTCCTTTTGAAGCCCTGCRTAAGGAAAGGGAAGCACAGCTGGAGTTCTGGCCAAACTTCCTGCCTTGCTCAAAGTTTCCAAAAAAAAAAATCTGCATCGACAGCATCCTGTTGAGTGGCGGAGGGAAGAGCAGCTGCAGCTCAGAGGAAAGTCACTCTCAAGTTGGGTTTTTGTGTCTATTCTTAGCACACCTCCACACGCCTGGATGCAGGTCATGCTGGGTATGATGGTGTGGGAGTTTTGGGTGGCTGAAAGGCTGGGAATTCCCACCTCACCATTCCCTGCCCCTCTGGCTGTGCTGATGGAGCAATTTGTGGGACTGTGCTGTAGCCTGGTTTGCTGCTGTGATCCTCAAAAATCCCATCTCCCAAACATGCACTGAAGCAGCTGGGTGGAGATGCCTGGCTAAGGATGATCCATCCCCAGCGCCAGGAGAATTGTTTCCCTCCATGAAAAAAAACACAGTGTCTTTGCTCTTCTGTCATCAAATTTCACTTCTAGGTTGTGAATTAAAGTGTAAYGTGATCTCCAGCGGTCAGAAAATTGGCCCTTAGGATGATAATTTATATTCTTTAGTCTTTTAATTAAATGGCCGAGCCTTTCTTCATTTCTGTGCCAAAATAGTCTTGCTGTGAGCTGAGCCTGTGCTGGAGCGAGTGTCRCTGCCAGGGTGTCCCTTGGGAACAGGAATTGAGCTCTGTCCTGGATTCCCACTTGTGCTCTGYTAGATGAAAACCCATCTCTTAAACCTAAAGCAATAACCTCTGGAAAATSTATGTAGGGAATCTTTGAGAAAAGAGAAAGCCTCCGTGGGGAAACRTGTGATTATTTTTCAGTTACTGATTTAAATTTAACAAACACTGAGCAAATCTGGAGCATRGCAGCCAGACTTGGAAAATAAATATGTGGTCGTGGCAACTTTGTAACCAGAGCAACGGGCAAACATAAAAGCTGGAGGTGACAGCCAAGTGTTTGCTTTTCCCGAACTTTATCTCCCCGGCTATGTTTTCCTTCAGCCAACTCAAGCATCCATGTACCCTTTGCCCTTGAACTTGCATCTCAAATTCCTCCCGAGCCAGAGCCTGGTGCTTTGGCTCTCATGGAAACCAGGATCAGGGCTGCAGCGTGCAGTGATTGACTTTYATTCACTTTATTTTGTTCTTGAGTTGTCATGGGCTGGCTCCAAGTGGAGCTGAGCCCAGACCTCCTTGGAACAGCGATGGACTTGGGGTTGGAGTAGGAGGAAAGAGGAGGGGGTTAAAGCCTCACTGGGGTAGTGTGACAGTAATTTTACCACAGGCTGCTGAGTGCAAACACCCCTTTGCTGATTGTTCCTGATTTTGCAGAGAGGAGAAGATGACAGCTGCCCGGATTAGGAAATGCCACAAGTGTGGGACGGGGCTGATAAAGTCGGAGGGCTGTAACCGCATGTCGTGCCGCTGCGGCGCCCAGATGTGCTACCTCTGCCGGGCCGCCATCAATGGCTACGACCACTTCTGCCAGCACCCCCGCTCTCCAGGGGCACCCTGCCAGGACTGTGCCAAGTGCTCCCTCTGGACAGACCCCACAGTAAGTAACAAAGGATTTTTGTGAATGCTTCTCACCTCAGTTTCAATCACTGTCCACAGCGGCATRTTGAAGTGCACACATTCCACCAGGGGAAAATGGGTTTAGCCAGCACAACTTGTTTCCTTTCCCAAGGCAGCTAAAAAGCCACACTGGGATCCTRCAACAGCACAGAGTCACATCTGACCACAGCTTGGAGGGAGCTGGGGTTGCTTTAGGGAAAAACAGCTCCTGTCAGATGAGGGCTTTGGCTGGAAGTGCTCTGAATGCTATTCTGGAGAGCGAGGCTTGTGAAGGAGCTGGTGGGGAGCACGTGCTGGCACCAGGCACAATAGCCAGCATTGGGATTATTGGGACCCATTCCTACTTGTGCATCTGACATGGTGTTGGCATGGCCTGGCATCTGGAGGGAGGGGAATTGTGACTTTGGTGCCCAGATCATCTGAGTGCTGGTTGTGAATCCCATCACGGGATGGACCTGTCAGAAAAAAACTGCCTACGAGCCCAGGCTTGTGTTGGGTCCATTCTAGGGCTGGTGTCGACAGCTGCAGAGGGGCAGCTGAAGCGTGGAGTGGACTATGAGAGAAGCTGTAGTAATTTAATACAGCTCCTATCTGTGACAGGCTTGGGAAAACTCGCTGTAAATAGAGGTATTCAATGYTGTAAATCCACGAGTGCTGGAAGGAGCAGGAATTGAATTTCCTGACTTTACCAACATGAATGTGGATCTGCCTTCCCAGGGTTTGCTTGAGCTTCCTTTTTCCTGGTGATTCTTTGTCTTGGGCCTCTACGGTTTTCCAGGCTGCTCCCAGCCCCCCTTTCTGCAGGGAACATGCACAATCCTGCATCTGCAGAGCCAGGGTAAAGCCACTCTAAATCTCTCCCTTCTACCTCCAGGCTCTTGGGGATCTCCCAGCAGTGTCACAACCAGCATGAGCTTCCAAGTCCTCTGCTTGCCTGCTTTGATTGCCTGCATTATCCTGTCAGTKTGAGCTGTTAAACGACACACAGACACCTCCTTGCAGGCACCCCTGTAGCGTTTCCGACACCTGGTTCTGAGTTCCTTGGATTCCTGTCCCACTCCTCCCCATTTTCCAGCAGGATGCAATTCAGGGCTCAGCAGGGCTGGCATCCGTTGTTCCTGTCAGGGTGCTGATTGTGCTGGGGGATGGCATTTGTTCAGAGCCAGAGAAAACATGAGGCCTCTCAAAAAAGCTCGTACTGTACTTTCAAATAAATAAATAAATGAGCAGCACAAAGAGGGCACTGTCACCAGGCCCTTTCCACCTCTCTAATTAACCAATGTTGTGGCAAAGAAAAATTTCCCACTGTCAGCACAGAGCTGGCACTGCCTGCTCTTTTATTATTTAATTATTTTTTGGATGATGGAGTGCTGGTGGGCTGGGGAGGTGAAGCTGGGTGACTGTCCTTGCTGCAGTGCAAAGAGTAACACCAAACTCAGCTGTTGGCTTGAAGCTGAAATGATGGTGKGTACCTGTGTGGTCCTCCCTCATCAGGGGCTTAGTGACACCAACCCAACYCCTCCAGGGTGATCTGTGTCTCATATGGGACACGGGACAGGAATTACCCTGGTAGATGTAAAGAGAGAAATGGAATTTGGRTCTTGACATGGAGATTTGAAAGAGCAAAAGACCATTCCTTTRGCAGTGTCCTGTCCTTTGCCAGGGATAAGATCCATCCAAGGGTCTGGTTTGGGTCTAATCCCTATTTACAGCAAAATTCAGGTTTCTTTAAAATAGGGAACCTTTGTTCTTTCCCACATGTTTAATGTTTTCCGAGCCTGAAACAATTCTTGTGAAAGTATAAGTAAACCTATTCATTAGCTTGGGTTAAAAACAAATTAAAGACAGTCCTYTAGGAATGGCAGCATCTGTTAGTCTTTGTCTCAAATGATCTTGAGAGAGTAAAGCAGAGGCTTCAAAATTTCCCATAATTAAAGGTTAGTTAAAATGTTGTCCCTACGCTGTAATCAGGCTGGAGTCTGATTTAAAAGTATCGGTGCAATATTTGCTGGTCCCCAGACAAGCTGCAGTCAGGCTGTGGTGAGCAGCTTCCCGGGGGTCCAGGCAGGAATTGTTTGATCCCTGTGTTTCTCCTGGAGCTAATCCATGCCCTGCACCCCTGTAGGAGGTGCCAGGAGCCCTTCCCAGGGCACTGCTTGGCCAAAAATCCTCGTGTCCTGCAGTCCATGCAGGCTCTGGCTCTGCTCTCCGGGGGCTGCAGGAGGGGCTGATGCAACATTRCCAGAGACAAAGCTCGGGAAGGAGCTGGGGAATGAAGCTTCTGTGAGAAAGAATCCACAGGAGAGATGGGGGTGAGGGCCTGGAGGGGAARCTGTGAGGAGTGGCTGAGGGCATTGGTTTGTTCTGCTGGAAAAAAGGAGATTGAGGGGAGACTCATTGGGGCTGCAGCTCCAATCTCTGCTCCCTGTGAGCAGGAATGGGATCCAGGGAATGGCTGGAGCTGTGTCAGGGGAGGGTTAGGTGGGATATCAGGAAGAGGTTCTTCCCCCAGAGGGTGCTGGGCACAGCCCTGAGGCTGCCAGAGCTCCAGGAGCATTTGGATATCACTCCCAGGGATTGTTGGGTGTTTGCACAGGGCCAGGAGCTGGACTGATGATCCTTGTAGGTCCATTCCAACATAGGACAGTTTATGATTCTATGAATTAGCTCTGGGATGCAGGGGCTGTGTTTCCCCTGATTTCTATATATTTGTAGCAAACCTAAGGCTTCCTTGTGTGCATTTCATCCAGTTTTCACAAATCCTGGGATGCAATGTGATTCATGCATTCTGGCTGTTTTGGTAAACCAGGTTCTGCTCTCTCTTATTTTGAATTTAATACTCATCTTTGGGCTATCAGTAATATTGCACAGAGGCTTTTTTTTTTTTTTTTTTTTTAAAATTTTAAGATGTTTTCAGTAAACTCTTAAAACCCTCCCAAAGGCCCATCATTAAAGTTCAAAGCAGAAGACTAATCATCATGAGGTGTTTGCAATTATCCCTCCCTTCTAGTGTTATAAAAAGATGATGTTGAGAGAAGACTGTGTAAAACTTCAAATGCATCGAGGAAATGCATGAAGTGCACAGTGCTGCCTTTAGGATTTGGAAGGGGAGGGGGTAAACTCCCCTAAATTTAGGATGTGGGGTTTGTGGTGAGCTTGGGGTTTTTTTTTCAGCGCTATAAAACGCCTCAATCATAAGCATATGGTTAATCCTGGGAATTCACAGAAAGCCATCRATACGGAATGCCTGTTGCTAAAATAACTCCCAGTTTCTTGAACRCCAGCGTGTGCTCCGTCCCCATGTTGGCCCCCCTTTTCCTGCAGCACTGCRGATTCCCTGTTCCAGTTACAACACAGCCCTGCTTTTATCCCTGCTTCCTGCTGCATGGAGGAACACGCCGGAGACAGCCGATGCCTGTTCTTGCTCAGGCTCTCCGCAGCTGATCTGGGAATGATTTGAAACAAAACCCCTCAGTCCTTTGGAAGCCTCCGTCGTGAAAAATCATTTCAAGTTTATTAGGAACGGCTGCGGCCACACGTACGTGGAAAAAAAAGAAAAGCAGTAAAGAGGCAAAAAGGGGGAGGCAGCGGTGGTGAAGGAGTTTCTAAAGTAGGGGAGGGGTTGCAGARCCCAGAAATAGTCACCAGGACTCTTGTTTTCCCTCTTTTCAGGAGGCGGCAGCCGCTTCCCGGTGACACTTAATAATTAAAGATAACGAGAAGCGCAGGAGATAAAAACAGAGCTTTCAAAAGCTCCCTGGATGGCACTTTTGTTCCGGGCAGAGGAGGTTTTATTTGGGGGGATGCTGTCTCTGTGTGACTCGCTGAGCTTTTATCTCCCTTGCTGCTGTATTTTCTCATTCCCAAGGGCAGTTTATTTCTCCGGCAGCTCTTTCTGCTCGTGTCAGGGCCCTGTGTGGGTGCTCTATGAGGCTCCTGTGCAGCAGCATTGTTGTCACAGGCCTCCCTGCCATCAAAAGGTGCCTCTCTTAGCAACCCAGCCCCGCTCCTCTGCTAATCCATCCCCAGACCGAGCCATCCGTTCTGCTGTGATTGGCTCCGTGCTCGCTGCATTCGCTGGATTCAATGGCACAGGGCTGAAAGGAAAAGCCTCCTCCGTGCTGAGATGCTTTCCCAGGTGGGGGATGGCAAGGGCAGGCTCCCACACTGGCCAGGAATCAGCGTTTGTTTTCCTTGGCTGCAGGATGGGATGGCTCCTGCACAGAGCATCCCGCTGCTGGGTCTGGGGCAGAGCCTGGTTCTGTTTTGCCACTTGAAAACACAGCTGCTGGTAATGGCCATGTCTGCTTTCTGCAGATAAAAAGGGTGAGTGCATCTCAGAGATGCTTTGCATTTTCCTCTTGGCCACCTCCCTTCTCCCGTGATGCAGCAGAGCGTGGGGAAGGGCCACGTTGTAGCATTGCCCTGCATTTCCTCTCTGGCAGAAAAGCCAAGTTACATCTTTGCTTAAAAATACTGCCCAGTGCTGAGGACCACGCCCCCCGGGGTTGCTTTTTTTCTATTTCTTCTTTATTTCTTTTTTTTTTTTTTTTTTTTTGTCTTGCTGTAGGCAAGGCAGCTGACAGGAAGATGACTGTTAACTTGACAAGATAAATGCCTTCAATCCACACAGCCCGTGAACAGGCCATTAAAATTATAATCTAATCCTTTATTAAGGGACTTGAACCCGCTCAGGGAAACGGACACAAGAAGCTTTTGAAATCCTTCAGCAGCCTCTACCCCATGTGATGTTAAAAGGTTTCTCACCACAAAATCAGCCATAAGTGTGCTAATGAAATCTTAATTTTTGGTGTGGGTGCTTTACCCCTCGRTGAATCTGTCATCTCTCTAATTACTGTGGTATTAAAACAGCCTTTGCTTCCAAAGAATTAGAAATGTTTTGCAAGATTCACTAAAATAGGACCAGGACTTTTTTTTTAATTCTGACCTGCACAATATGTATTAGGCAGAACTTGTGGCATCAGCTTTCTTTCTGAACATCCTAAAATTATCTTGTTGTTTATGTATCAATTCTTTKGTTCCATCTGGGATGTGGGTCTTTCCTAAATACTGCAGGTATTGAGCTGTGCTGTGTATTCATCATTTGCCAAATTTAATGTCAGCCTCTTAAATAGGAAGGTGCTTATTGTGCATTGCATTTTTGTTCTTTTGACATTAACGGATACTAGAAATGCTGGTGCAAAAAAAAATTCCAAGCAAAAAAAAAAATCCAAAATTCTTGGTATGTGSGATTAAGTGTAAGCACTCCTTAACCTTCCAATGGGGAAATAGACTTTTATCAGCAAAGAAGCRACAGGGCTGATAAGTTCTGTTCTTGGACATGTGGTTTGTTGTGGCTCTGCTGTGATTTGTAGTTTCAGAACCAGGCAGGAACATCACCCTGACCCAGGTCTGTTCCTGGCAGGTTTTTTTATCCAGGGTGTGCTGCGAGCTCTGCCCCTCTTGAAACCCCCTGGGGCTGAAGCTGAGTGGGGATCTGTGGCTGCTGCATTTGGGGATGTGTTCTGTGGTGTCCTGGGGAGCTTTRGGGGTCACTTTGGAGCTCTGGCAGATGGGTTTTGCTGTTCCCTGCTTGCCCTGGTGCTCTGAGAGCCTCAGTAATCGAATCCAGCATCACCTTGGGCCAGTGCAGCTGGCTCCAGCCCCGGGGCAGATGGATGTGTCCAGCCCCCTTTGAGGGAGGTCAGCTGCAGTTTAAACTGCAAGGCTGGAGCAGCCCTGGCTGCAGGAGCATCTGCTGAAGTTGTGTTTGATGTGTCCAGTTCCCCAGGCTTGTGCAGGACTGATGGAGCTGCAGCATCGCGGGTGGTGACAGGAAGGGGTGTCCCTGGGAAGCACCATTTCATGGGGTTAATCATAGATTTGTTTGTTGGAAAGGACCTTAAAAATCATCTCATTCTGCCCCCTGCCATGGGCAGGGACATTTTCCATTCTCCCAGATTGCTCCAAGCCCTGTCCAGCCTGGCCTTGGACACTCCCACGGATGGGGCAGCCACAGCTTCTCTGAGCACCCTGTGCCWGGCCCTCCCCACCCTCACAGGGAAGAATTTACTTGTAATCACTTAACAAAATGCTTTTGCTTTAGTCTAAGTTAAAGGGCACATTTCTAGGCTTTAAAGTGAGGTTTATGCCTTTGTGTGAGGAAAGGAGATACTGGGTGATCTTGCTCAGCTGAGCTTAAAATATATTTCTTGTCGTATAAACCTTCAGGTGCATCTTTTCSAGTAAGTGGTGATAAAATGGGAGTGGTGGCTGTGTTCATTTTCAACAGCATTAAAAAAATTAGTCTTAGAAGGGAAAAATAATGAAATCCTAAAGTCTGAAACCAAGCTTTGAGAGTTCTGCTTGGGCAGCAAAAGAGCAAGGAATGTTTGGCTGCCTGTGGAGCATGCCCAGGTGGTTTTCCAGCCAGAAATACTGATATTTGGGGGGTAGTTAGGCATTCCATGTAGGCTCAGAAGAGCCATTCTTCAGCAGCTTTTATGGAGATAGATAGGCTGTAATTAACAGCCCATGCAAGCAGCCTGCTTGGGAAAGGGAATAAAAAAAAAGCATGTCCTGGAAAGTCTTAATTTTAACCATTGATTCACAGAATAATAACAGGGAGGGAAGTATTGGGTTTTTGGCTTTCTGCACATTAAGATAACTTCAGTCTCCCAGGGAAACCTTATCTGCTGGTGGAGGAGGGGACTGCTTCCCAAGCTTCCCAGGYTGTACATGTGCAGGGCTGTCAGCTGGGGACTGGGAAGCTTGAAATCATTTCAGTGTATAGCTGCATGCATGAAGCATATTTTGGATTTAGTGCCAGAGCATTCTTCAAAATAAGGGATATTTTTTACGTTAAGAGTGCTCAGGAGAAATGTATGTATTTTGGCAGTCACTGAAATTAGGGTGATTAAAACAAGCCTTGTGGGGTTCCAAGCACTGTCCTGGAGGTTTTTCTGCTCTCCCTGGAAGCTCCAGGTTGGGTTTCATCCCCACAGACATGGAGCAGCAGCAGTTCAACCCTGCAGGGACAGCAGGACCTCGCTGCCATCACTCYACCTCCCAGCATCTTCTGCCTGGCACCGAGGGAGTTCTGTCCTCAGGGCTGGGGGGCTGTGACCCTGAGAGCTGATCTGTGCTCTGGGGCACTGCAGAAACCCACCTGAGGCTTCACTGCATCRTTTCATCTCACAGAGAACTGAGGCTGATGAGAGGCAGAAGGACAATTTCMATTTCTGGCTTGTCCTTGTGCTCTCAGTGAGCAGCAGCTCTGAATATTCTTGCTATAACCTCTAGACAGACATTAAAGAAACATATTTCGATTTATGCCCTTCTCAGAGTTACAGATAAGATCTAAATGGCACCATTTAGCTACTAGAGCCAGGATTTAAGTTGTGTTAATTCCAGCTGTTGGGCCAAAAACTCTACAAGTGCTAGTATAATGTAAATATTTAATCAACTATTGCCATTTAAAAGATTAACAGCTCTTCAGAGGGGTGGAGCTGGGTCGCAGTTCTCTGGTTTCCATCAAGTCAATGAATTTTAGTGCAGATCTCCCTGGAAAGCTGATCCAAGCATCTTGGTCATTCTCCACAGAGTGCAGGTTATTTGTGCTGCAGTTCCTCCATCACTGCCTTGCTTTTGGGTCATTCTAGGCCATCCCCACGTGCTGGAAAGAAAAGCAGCACTGAGAGAACAGAAGGCTGCTGCAGCAGGAATTATCCCACTGATTGATTGGTGTTCCTTRATTTCTAGGAAGATGATGAGAAGATAATCCATGAGATTCAGAARGAGGCTGAAGAGGAGCAAAGGAAGAAGAACGGGGGTAAGTCACAGTCAGGATCAGACTGAGGACAGTGGGACAGCACAGAGTTCCCAACTGCTGACGGGTCTCAGGACCTTCCCTGGATCCTGTGACACTGGGAAATGGTCTGATTTTAAAGTGTTGTTGCCTGCAGGCTTTTGCTGAGGTTGTGAGCAGGCACAGGATTTCTCCAGCTCTCATGTGGCTCTGGTGTTGTGGATCTCTGTGCTTGGCAAAGTGTCTGAGGGGCAGCAAACCCTCTGAGCTGTGTCACGGGGGGCACAGGGGCTGCCCCACATCCCACATCAGGAAACGTTTCCCCTTTGTGGTGAAAGGAGCCAGCCTGGAGAGCTCCTGGAGCAAGGGAAGGGCTGGCAGGGATGCTCTGGAATGTTCTGGRATGGGGGATCTGACTGTGGGCTGAACTCAGACAGCCTCGCTGGTGGGTGACCGCTCTTTGCTCTCCTCCCTGTGCAGAGAACAGCTTCAAGCGCATCGGCCCTCCCGTGGAAAAGCCCGTGGAGAAGATCCAGAGGATCGAAGTCATCCCCAGGCCKGTCCCTCAGAACTTCCACCAGCCCCGGATGCCCCCGTACCCCTTCGTGCACCCGCCCTTCCCCTTCCCCCCYGTGCGCCCCATGTACAACAACATCCCCCTCAACATCGGCCCCATCCCYGCGCCCTACGTGCCCCCGCTGCCCAACATGAGGGTGAACTTTGAYTTCCCCCAGATCAACGTGCAGCTGGAGCACAACCTGCCTATGCACTTTGGCCCCCAGCCCCGGCACCGCTTCTGACCCGCCCCAGCAGCGCCGGGCAGAGTCGCCGCAGGGCCCCATAAAATCCCCCTTTCCCCACTCCAGCCCCCTTTGGGGTTCTGCCAGCAGCCAGGGGATTCTGTGTCCCTGCACTGCACCCCCTCGAGGGCTTCTCCAAACCTTTGCAATTCAACATTTCAACCTGTGCTGCAAACAGGGTTTGGTGCTACATTTCCCAGGGGTGGAATTCCCCCCTGTGCTGGGCATCCAGATGTTATGTTTTGACAAAGCCTGTTCAGGCAGCTGTTGGGAGGAAAAGTGAGACTTTGTGGAACACAGGGTTATAGCCGTTCCTTGGGGAATTTCCAAAAATCCTGCCTTCCTGCTGGCCAAAGCAGCTAAGTGAGTCKTGGGGGAAGGGAGGAGACACTTGGCATCTGAGTAAGACCTTCAGGAAAGAGGTAAGAAGAGTTGGCTGCCCCAGCCTCCTGCCTGTGGAGAGGCACAGCACTAGGGTTCTTTTCTCCAGCATCCCTGTGTCCTGCTGGCACCTCCCAGCAGAAATAAATTGTTCAAAAGCAGGCCAATGTAGCATTTTAATGTTCCTCACTCTCTGAGCAGAGCGAGGGGCTGCAGCAGCCATCCATTGCCCAGGCCTTGGTAGGAAGCCCCGAGCCATGTTCTGTTGGGGGTGTTAGGAAGTGGCAGGAGATTTGGGCACCCAAATTTTTGGCTGGGCTGAACTTGCCCCCTTTGAAAGGCTCAGTTTTTTTCCCCCCGAGGTGGGAGCCTCTCAGCTTTTGAAACGTGGCCTTTGCTTTGCAGTTCTCATCTGGCATCCCAAACCTCCCCCAGCTTCTGGCAGCAGAGCTCAGGCAGCTGCTGGAACCACCTGGAGCCAAAGCCTGTGCCCTTCAGTGCAGAAAYTGCCTGGGAAACACCCAGATAGACGTGTAGGCAGTGATGTGTCCTGTGGTAGGAAAATTGGGAATGTTCCCTGAAGCTGCAGCAAATTGGGAGCCCCCTAACTGAACCCCCACACCCAATGGGCAGCTGTAGCCTCACGCTGCAGGAAGCTGGCTGCTTCCACAGCACCAAATAACTCATGAAAATGTGTGTGTCAGCTTAATTGGCTTTGRAAAAGTGTGTTAAAAGTTAAACCTGAGCATTGCTGGGCTTAGGAAGTGAGGGAAAAGCAAAACTTCCCTGTGAGATGCAAGGGGTGCAGTGCTGGGCTGTGGGAGGAGGGTGGCACAGAGCCCTTTCTTGGCTGTGCTGTCTGCTACAGGCCCCATCTAGAAAAGAAAACTGTTGGAGTGGGGGAAAAACCCTCTTCCCAGGAATGTTGGGCTGGCTTTTAGCAGCCCGGTTGTGCTGTTGTTCTCCAAATGTTTTGTTCTGGCCTTCATCCTGTTCTGTCCTGCTGGCAACTCTCTGGGTGCATTTCCCCTCCTGTTATTCCCCTCTGTGTTTCAGCATCCAGGTGTTTTGTGGGTTGATTTGTTTTTTTCAGGTAAAATTCCCTGTCTCCACCTCACAGCTCCTGCCAAAGCCCCACGTGCAGCATTCCAGGACCCCCGGATGCTCTYGGGGTGCAGAGGGTGCTGGACACAGGGTGTTGGTGGGATGCTCCTGGACAGGGGTCTGGGACAGTGTTTAGGGACTGTTCTCCCAGGAAAAGTCCCCCAGACAGGAGRATTTCCATGCCTTTTGGAGCTTTGGAGTGTTTTTCCCGTTGCCTGTGGGTCGAACGTTCCCTGCGAGCGCTCTGGCTCCTCCGTGCCRTGGTCTCTCTAGCATTAATAACCAACTGCTATTCCCTTGCTGCTGGAATTTTCTATTTGGAATTGGTTTATTCTTGGCAGCAGTCTGGGGGCTGCAGGGGTTTTATCACTCGCTGCTCAGCTGGGCTTTGACCAGGTTTAGATCTGGCCTTGCAGCGACGGGAGCAGGAATCCCAYTGGATTTGGGGAGGAAGGGCTTTGTCACAGCAGGTGCTGAGGAACCACACCCAGGTCAGAAGARGCAGTGGTGGCTTCCCTGATGGAAAGGGAATCCTGTTTGTTTAACAGCCAAGGTTTTCTGGGCTCAGGGGSTGGTTTGGCTGAGCCCTCCAGGCTCTCTGAGGGGATGGGGCAGTGGAGGGGGCCAGCAGCCAGGGCACAGCTCAGCTGCTGAACCAGGGGCCCAAACTGTGAAGAAATAGGATGGTCACCCAGCAAAAAATGATGATCCAGTGCCATATTCTTGTGCATGTCCAGGGATGTGAAGACACAGAGAGYTGAGCCTCAGCAGAGGGAAGTGCAGAGGTGGAGCAGAGAGGCTGGAGAAGGGTCAGGCAGAGGTGGAGAAGGGAGTTTGGTGGCTGTGATCCATCTGCTGCCCTGGCCCTGGAGGAGCCTGGAGGAAATGGGGGGACGAGAGGATTCCCTGTGTCCCCTGCCAAAGCCAAGGGCTTATTTGTGTCCAAGGGAGGAGAAGTCAGTGCTGGTCTGTGTATGGGTTCAGCATGCCCAGCACTGCTTCTCTTACCAAGGAAACATCCAGTGCACCAAAAATTTGCAGCCCAAGCAATTGGCTGCTTCTCCCCCTTAACCCAGGAGATCTCCAGTTGTTTCTGAATCTGTGTTGATTTATTTAAAAAAGAAAAAAAAAAAAAAGCCCAAAAGTTACTGAGCCACCCAATCYGGCCTTGACCTGGTCTCTAACTCCTGCATCCCGCCTTCCTTCCTGCCCCACAGTCTTTGGAACCACTTGTTTAAAGRTTTTGAAGGTAATGAGGAGGTTGCTGTGCCCAGGCTGATCCCATAACAGGTACTTCTTAACAGCTAATTGCAGTGTCCCATTTACTTGCCTTAAAGGTGGAGAGAGAAAATTTAGTATTTGCACTTAGCAAAACGTTGTATTAAAGGAAGAAAAAAGACTTGTAAAGATGTGCATGTTCTGCAACTTTGTATAACAATAAATAAAAAAAAATAGGTGGTTTATTTAAAAAAAAAAAAAAAAAAAAAAGAGGAAAAAAACCAAAAAATATTTTTCTTTACATCCTGGTAGTAAACAGTTCTAATATTCTGTGTGTAAAAAGTTCCTGTATTATATTGTAATTTGAATTTTTGTAAATAAATTTGTGCACTCTGGCTTTCACCTGTGTGCTTTCCTTACAGCCTTGTCCTCCCATCCTGCCTGTGCCAGCCTGGTGCTGGGACAATGCCAGGGAGTGGGGCCAGGATCCCAACCTGGGCTGGTGGAAACTCCCCAGGTCGCAAGGCAAAACCCATTTGACCCTCCTGGAACGGCTTAATCTGTTCCATGTGCTCCCGAGGAAAAACGGGATGGGATAGAAAATGGTTTCCAGTCGCTTCTTTAAATGGAAACAGGATGGGGGGAAGGCTGAGGGGATTTCCCCTCTTGCCAGAGCGGTGGTGAATGATGGAAAATGCAGAATCCAGCCTTGAGGGGAGAAAAGGAAATGTGTGCTGGCAGCTGAGSGAGAGGGGAAGGGTGAGAGCCCTTCCTGCAGCTCCACAGCCCCTGCTTTGGGTGGGCACCCACTGGCAGAGCTGCCTGATGCCCYGGCTGGGTGTCACAGCCCGGTGTCACAGCCCAGTGTCACAGCCAGGTTTGCTTGTGCACACACCGATGTCACAGCAAGGCAGAGCTGCTCAGCATTTCCTGCATTGCTGATTTCTCCCTGTTTATAGTCAGGAATGAACATCCTTCCTTCCTTCCTTTGGCCCTTGCAGTGCTCACCCCCCTCTGAYGGTGAAGGTCCCTCTAGGCAGTGCCCTCCCGCTGTCCCCCTAGGATGTGTGTTTGGGGGGAGCTGGGCAGCCCCCCTTTCCCAAACTTTGCTTTTTCCAAGGCAGCTTTACATTTTTAAAGCCAGATGGGAGCCCAATGATGCCCAGCCAGGCTGTGGTGCTGAGGGCAGGGCAGCTGTGGCTGCTCTCRGTGCTGTTGGTTGCGTTTCAGGGCTGGTTTCAGCTGTCCAGAGAGGGCTGGGGGCACATCCCAGCTCCTCTGGCAGGACTCATGAGCTGGGCTGGGCTTCCCTTCCCACTTTAGTTCTTTTTCCTCCCATTTTCCACATCCCTGAGTAGAGGAGGTTATTGCTGATCCCCACCCAACCCTACACCCAAACTTCCATCCCAGTGCTCTTCCCTCCCATCWGGGCCATCCTATGGAGGTGAAACTCCTGGATCAGGAGAAGCTGTGTGGGATCACCAGAGGTGATCCTGACCCATCCATGGGTCACCATCCCAGATGTCCAGGGCTCAGTGGCTCCTCTGAGCATCTCCAGAGGTGACCCAACCTCCAGGTGGCTTTGGCTTTACAGCTCTTGTGGCCTCTTGGTCACCATTCCCTTCCCACCAGTTCAACCCTCTAAAACCAGCTCAACTTTTGTCAGACAAAGGCTCCACCCCCCCAAATCTCCACACTCAGGCTCTTGCCTCTCTCCACCCCAACAGACCACACACCAATTTGAATCCGAATGCAGGTTTTATTTTTTAATTCATCTTTCTCCATTTGAAGCTATTTTTTTTAAGTTATACAAATGGCACTTACAAAAAAATAATAATAATTAAAAAAAAAAAAGAAACCAAAACGAACAAACCCAAAACTTAAATTTTTCAGAGTGAGATGTTTTCAGAGAGTCACGACACCCGATAAGAGGAAACAGGAGAGATGTTGACCTAGTGTCACACGGGAGAAGCCGGAGCRGGATTTACGGGGTTCGGACTGCAACGGGGATGGGGAGGAGGAGACACGGGGAGGGGGTGAAGGCCAGCGAGGTGTGTGTCGAGTTATGGGGTCACACAGGGCTCTGAGACACTCGGTCCTTCAGGGGGGGCGCGGGCAGCCCTGGGTGTGAGCGCAGAGCCGAGGTAGAGTCCCAGCYGGGATCCCCTGCGCCCACCAGGGACCCCGGCCCGGGGCCATCCCCTGCCTGGGGATGATCCCTCGCTCTCCCGGCTGAGTTTAGCACCAAGCTCCTGGGGAGGGGAGTCCCTCCTGGGGSCTTTAAGGCTGACGAGCCCCTGCCTGGCCTTGGGCAGTAGGGACCGGCCCTGGTTTGGCACGGCAGCGATGCCAAGAGCACCCTTGGCGTGGGGTGGGACCAGCTCCCCCCTCTCCAGAGGGGGCCCACGCGGGAAAAGGCTCCTTGGTGTGTTTGTAGGGAGCAGATACCGGCCCTGGGAAGGCCCCAAAGGATAAAGTGCCTTTCAACACCCTAAGGAACACGCAGCATCACCCGTTACAGACAGCGTTAAACTCTAATGCAGACCTAGTACAGACAACAGCTGGTCACACAGTGCCATGGAGAGCATATATAAATAGAGACTAACAAAAATACTGTTTTGGTCTTTTTTTTTTTTTTTTCTCTTTTCCTTTTCCAGTAGGGTTGCTATTCATGAGAGCCCAGCCCAGGTGCCCTGGGGGTGGGTGGGACCGGGAGCTGCCCCCTCGGGGTGCCCACGGGAGTGGGCACTTCCTAATTCAGCATTAGGTGTTCAGTGATTCGCTTCACTGTTCCAGTATTTTACGAGAGAGAGAAAAAAACAACAACAAAGGTACTGAGCAAATATCACTGTGCAAAGTTTGCTAAGGAACTTTTCTATTCTGTAAACCAAAATCTGCAGTTTATGCTTCCAGCCACCGCCCCAGGGACGTCACGTTGGCCAGCCCGGCTCCTGCCGGGACCRAAGCCCACCGGAGATGGGCTGGGTGAAGCCCCCACCCTGGCACGGGCTGGCTCTGTGTCCCCCCGTGCCCTCCCCTCCAGGCCTTGGGGCAGGCTGGACCCACCAGCAGGGTCTGGGATGCTCCTCCAGAGGCAGAAGCACAAGGAGGGGTGGAGGGACAGAAGGAGCACGGGGCTCCATGAGATGAAAGGCTGAGTCTTTCCAGACAGGATCACCCTAAAGAATCATTTCCAGGTGTTTGGGGAGGGGCAGCTTGTCAGCCCTTCCGTGGGGACACGTGCTGGCACACACCAGCCCCTTCCCCAGGGATGCTGTGATATGTAAGGTCACCTCTTACAGCTCAGCTGGGGATGACCCTGCCCCAAAATCCAGGAGGGGAGAGAAGCTGCTGGGGTGAGCCAGGAGGAGCTGGCTGAGCCCAGCACCTTCSCTCTGCCCCTGGCTGGAGCAGGGAGGGACGGGACGGATGCTCCGGGGGACACTGGCAGTGCAGTGGGGCTGTGCCAGTGCTGATATGGCAGAAGCGAGCACAGAGGTGATCTTATTCCCTTTTTTAAATCGAGGAGAGGAAAATAAACTACCTAAGGTGATGCTCGGGGCCRGGAGGGGGATACGGCTGTTTCCAAGCCCAGCAAACCTGGAGGGAGGCAGGGATGGGGGGATAGAGACAGACCCCTCTACAAAGCTATAGGTAGGTGGGCAGCCCCACCACTTTTCCAGTTCTTACAGGGATTTACGGAGACCCACCTCCCACAGAACGCACCAACTCTACGGCAGGAGGGAAGGGCAAGCCAGTCTGAAAATCCTGTTACAGAGAGGAGAAACAGAACCCGAGGGAAAAGAGGACAGGAAGGGAAAGAGAAGTTGGCAACGGGAGGTACCCTAAAGTGCATTAATATTCCCAGAGGGTGGAGGCGTCGATGGTGTCGGCCGATGCCTTGAGCACCCCGGCGTGGTCGCCCTTCAGGTATTTGCCGTTGATTTTGATGGCCACTTTGTTATAGTCGCAGAACTCAAAAAAGAAGTCCACGGGGGTGTCGCTGCTGCTGGTGACGGACGACTCGTTCCCCACCATCCAGTACTTCCCAGTGGTATCTGCGGGAGAGGGGACACGGTGTGAGCCACCGAGGGGACCCCAAAGGCCACCGCCCCCCAGCCTGCAGCCACCCCAGGGACTCACCCTTGATGTTGTAGGCGCCGTCGTTGAACTCCAGCTGGAAGACATCGTAGGAGGAGCGGTTGGAGTCCAGGGTGCCGGTGACCTTGCGGCAGCCGATGAAGCCGTGCTCGCCGCGCAGGACGATGATGGGCCTGTTGATCAGCTTCATCACGAAATGCTCGGTGTCACCTGCGCCGAGGGGACAGGGGCTGTGAGAGCAGCCAGGGGGGCACAGAGCCGGGCCYAAGGCTGGCAGGGAGCAGTGAGGGGAGGGGGCTGTGCCCCCCACCCATTTCTTACCCACCCCATCTCACTTCCAAAACTTATTCCCTGAGCATCCCTTGGAAAAAGAGCCTGGCTCTGGGGGGTTTTTCATCCCCTGCTACCCCAGTGTGGGTCCCCAAGGGTCCCTTACCYGCTGTCTCCATGGAGGCTGCCAGCTGCCCRTTCTTCTTCGCTGTCACGTATTTGCCATTGGCAGCTTTCAGGGTGATGCGTTTGTCACACCACTCGATGTCGAAGTAGCAGCTCGCGTTCCTGTGGGGCAGAGAGGGCTTTCAGCGGGGTGTGACAGAGAGGGACCCTGCACTGCCACCCCGCTGGCTCGGAAAGGGCCACGGYTGGATCAGCAGCGCCTGATTCGATCTGTTTTTGCAGCATGAGCCGTGCTGTGGTGGCCATCCCGCTGGGAAGCCCTTGCCCCGCAGGCAGGAGGCAGGCAGGCAGCCAAAGGCACTTTTGGGGTTTCTGCCTGGCTCTCAGGGTTGAACTGCAGGGCAAAGCATTTCGACAGCCCCAGCCGGCCGGGAAGGAAGGATTGCGTGGCCCCAGGGACTTCCAGAGCATCGTGGGCGGCAAGCCCCAGCCCATCCYTGGCTTTCCTGGGAATGCGCTGCCTCTGCTGGGAAGGGTTTGGGGTGAGCACCCAGACTGGAAAACCCCTGTGAATTCCCCTGGGAGATGCAGAGAGTTCCCTGAAGCCCAAGCACAGCCCCAAGCCGATGGGCACAGGGCACTCACTTTGTGGAGGCGGTGGATTGGATGCCYCCGTTGGAGGTGAGGGTCCAGTATTTCCCGGTGTAGGTGCGGAAGGCGCATTTCTTGGTGTCCTTGTTGATCTCYAGCTGGTAGGTCTCCTGGTCACCCTCCTCGTCCTGGTTGGCYGAGAGGTCCATCCCTACAGAGCAGAGACAGATGGAGATGGGGAGGGTGGAACCACAGCCTGGAGATCCAGGTACAGGACACCCAGTGAGAGGGGCTCCTGCTCCCTGGGTGAGCTTTGGTAGCTCCCAAATCCCTCACACGGATCTCCCCTCTGGTGTTTTGGGTTCAAATCCAGGATTTCATTTGTCTCTTTGGTGTTATGGCCACAAACGAGGGCTGAGCAGCTGTGAGCTCCCACTCCTGACTCAGCAGCTCCATGGCAGTGAAGCAAAGATGAACAGAGATATTTTATTAGGAAAAGGGCTGCRGTTTTTCCCAAAGGTGACAGCCAGGTTACTCAACCCTTTAGCAGAGGCCACCACAGCACCCATGAATCCCAGCTCGTGGCATGTTTAAGGACCATGGCACTGTTTTTCATCCACAGTTGTCACATCCCGCTGGGCCAGTGAGGTGTGCAGGGATGGRAGGCTTGGGAAAGCCCCTGGGGCAGCCAAGCCTTTCCCTGATTCCCCAAAATCATCAGCACCAACCCTTCCCCCAGCTCTGCCAGCCAGGATGGCCCAGCCCTGCATTTCCCTGGCAAAGGTGGATGCAGCTGGTCCTGGGGCCACCAGCCACAGCCCTGGGCCACCACCAGCCACGTGTGCATCCAGCTCAGGCACYGAGCCCGAGCAAACCTGCTTAGTCAGGGCTAGTGGGGCCAAAACTGCTCCAGAGGATTTTACRTCCTCTCCAGCTTGGTGGATTTCAGCCCAAAAACACTTTGGGGATGCGAGCCACAAGCTGTAGCCAAATGGCCGAGTTCTGTGCTGGGTTTTGGGGAGGGAGTTGGGGTGCAGAGCTCAGCCTCTCTGCTGAGCTTAGGGAAACGGGAGTTTAGTGGAGCTGGGTGAATTCTCCAGAGCCAAACACCCCTGCACCACTCTGCTCACAGCATCTCCCCTCTCCAGGCATCCTCCAGTGCCTTCTGCAGCTCCTATTCCCGGGAGTGTTCCGTGTCAGGCTGGATGTGCCATGGAACAGCCCAGCCTGGAAGGTGTCTCTGCCCACAATCCCTCCAACCCAACCAYTGCCTCTCCTGATGGACACACAGCCACCCTGCTTTGCTCCCCGGGGTATTTGGGCAGCACAGGGGGCAGTGGGTGCTGATGGCCACCAGCCCCAGCCCAGTGGCCACATCCTCGGCTCCCGGAGCCATCCCACACTCGCCGCCTCCCAGCGCTGCCGGGGGCTGAGCCGGCGGTTTGTGGGAACATTTGGTTTTGATTTTGCATCCCGGCGTCAGGCAGCTCCAGCCCCAACCCAGAGCTGTGAAACGGAGAGAGGGGCTCTGCGGGGGCTCACGGGGAGGTTTGGGCTGTGGGGAGGTGACACAGGGGGACACAGACCAGCCCTCGAGGCTGGCAGCACCCTGGGCACCCCAAACCTGTGGGATTGGGGTGGGTTGTGGGGGAGGAGAGAGCATGGTGCTTCCCCTCACCGACTTTTCTGGGAAGAACTCGCTGACCTGCAGGGACCAGGCTGGSCAGAGCCAGRGGATGCTGTGCCACAGGGCGGGACTGGATGGCCTGGAGACAGAGCAGGRACTGCCAGCAGCCTCCAAACACTGCTCCCTCTGCCCAGAGACCCCMAGCACGGAGCTCAGTACCCCACCAGCCTCCCCACCCCTCTGCCAGCCCATTTTCYGCACTCGCCTCGCACGGAGCTTTGGCTTTTCCCCAGTGCCGGGAAGGACCCGGCAGCAGGAGGGTCTCCCACCGCCCCCTCCCCAAAAGCGGCGGGGTTGGGTTACACCGACTCAGCACAAAGGAATGCGSCTTCGGCTGGGGCAGGAGAGGCTTCAAAGGGCTGGGGCTGATCTGGGGGCTCGGAGCCGGGCGGGATGAGGGAACTCGGAGCGGGACAGAGATGTCSCCGTGTCCCCGCGGTGGAGGACAGGCTGTCCCACAGCCCAGGGCTGTGCCAGGGAACCGCGGCCGCTCTCCCGCAGCGCCCGGCCCGGCCGCTCCCACTGCAATCACGGATTAATTAACGCTCTCGGTAAATTCACAGTCTGGAGCTGGCACTGCTCTTCCTGACCTTGACGAAGCTGCTAATTACAGCTGGAGGCGGGAGGGGGGCGAGCTCACGGCGGCTTTTCAGCGGGGGGGTGGCGGTTCGCCCGCGCTCCCCAAAATTCCTGGCGTGGGTTGGCCTCCGGCTCCGTCTGCAGCGCGGGTTTGCTACAGGGATCTTGGGGAGAATGCAGAGGCTGGAAAGGCTGAGGAATGTTCTCTCCTCAGGGCTTCCTAAAGCCAAGCACCRAGGTTTGAGATGCTCAGAGAGCCAGGAAAGGCTCCCCTGCCTGCCGAGGTTTCCAGGATTTGCAGGGAATGATGCCCGAGCCCTCGCTGCTCTCCAGCCATGCCTGTGAGTTACCGGGAGGATTTTGGCCATCCCGGAGCAGGGACACACCTTCCTGTCCCTGCCACCGAGCTGGGCTCCTCCCTCAGAGGAGCAGCGTTTGTTGTGGCCGTGCTGATCTCCGCGGGGGCTGCAGAGCCGGCGTGGGGGCATTTATGGTACAAAACTTCCCCTCTGCACCCAAATCACACAGAATCTCCCCGGAGCCGTCCTGGGAAGCTGGTGAGAGTCAGCGGGATGAGCTCCATGGAGAGGAGCACCTTTCCCATCTTCAACTCCCCTTTCAAAATCCCCGCGGTTATGAGTGAAAAAACTGAGCCCGGGTTCCTCCACCCTGCAGAGCCCCCAGTCCCTCCGGCCAGCGGGGCGGGATTTGGGGTGGGATTGGGGTTGGGGTTGGGATGCTGCACCCAGCGCTGCCAGCACGGGTCGGGTCTGGGCTCCCTCCCTGCGGGGCTCTGGCACCTCCACCCTCGGCCCCTGCACCCGCACACGAGCTCGGAGACGCCTCCTGCCCCCTCCCTGCCCTTCAGCCGGGTTTTCACCGCCCCCCTGCAGAAACCCAAACAGGTTTTTGTCCAAATCCKACAGCCGGGAGCACCGGGAAGCAGCAGCTCCTCTGCTGGGGGTGCAGCTCTGCAAAGGGGTCACGGGTAGGAGTGAAACATGAATTTCCTGAAAAACCCACCCCTCCTTCCCTGTGGATTTCCTGTGGCTTTGTGGTATCCCCCAAGTGTCAACAGGCCACTTGGCATCTCCAAATGAAAATCTACATCCAGGCCTGCGTGCCCCCTGCCCTGGAGCCGCATCTTCCTGCCYTGCCGTGGCACCGAGGTGAACTGGGAGGGGAAATCGGGCTCAGCCCGTGCCGGGAGGGGTCCTGACCCCCRGGCAGAGCTCCCTTCACAGCTCTGCTCCCTCGCCCTCCTCCCCAGAYCCCATTTCCTGGAATTCCTCGCTCCCGGGTCAGCCCACCCTCTGCCCCGGGCGGGTTGGGGGCAGGGGCGCACCTCTGCCGGGCGGGGGGCTGGCAGGGGCCCAGCGGGGAGAACGCCAGCGCTCTGTCCCCGGGACCCCCGCGCCCACAAAGAGCCCTTTGTTGCCGCAGCCGGGCGAGAAAGGAGCCATTGAGCGGGGAGGAGGCTGCGCGCTGCTGGCAGCGCTGGCCCCGCTCGGTTTGGGGTGCAATGGGGAGGTGGGAACTCTCATGGAACCCCGGGATCCTGTCCTGCTGCGRATGGAGGAGGAGAGGGGCGCCAGGRAAGCCCCCAGCCCCCGCCCCAGAGCAAAGGCAGGGCTGGCACCCATCCCTTCCTGCCCCGGGGGTGTTTGTGTCCCGGTCTCCAGTGCCCCCTGTGCAGGGGATGTGACACCGGCCATTCCCGGGGCAGGGAGGAGACTCCAGGCCGGGAGCTGACTTGGCACGGGTGGGACAGCTCTGTTCCAAAGCTGGATCCCRGCCAAGGGAACCACAGAACAGCCCCATGGCCCCATCCCTGCTCCTCCCATGGGGCAGAGAGGGGACAGCCGCTGCCATCCCTCCTCCCTTCCYTGACTCCACACAGAACAAGCTGCCTTCTCCCACTGTGGGGCTGTGCCGAGCTTCAATCGCTCCCCGCCCGCATCCCGCATCCCGCATCCCCCATSCCGGTGGCCACGGGAGCATCTGCCAGCGGCGCGGCGCTTATCGGCTTGGCGGGGGAAAGGGCTGTCTGGAGCCGCTTCCTCCGGCGGCTGTTTCTCGGCTGCCTTCTTGGTAACCTCGGGACACGGCCCTTTCACAACGGGAGAAGGGAGRATGAGCCCCACAAAGCGGCAGCTCCCAGCCTTTCACTGCCACCGGGGGGGATAAACCGGGTGGAAACGGCTTCTCCTGCCAAAACGGACTSGAGCGAGGATGTGCAGCCCCAGCGCAGAGCTTCCCGCTGTATTTTGCTTGGAAAGGGGCCGGGCACAGCCCAGAGCCCTCTGTTGCTGGGGAGATTTGTTCCCCCCCTTCCTGCTCCCCCATCCCTTCTGAATTAGACAAAGCCGGAGGGTCGGCCAGCAGCGTTCCCAGCCGCTCCGCGGGGTCCCGCACCGCCACCGCTCCGTCCCTCACATCTCCCCCCACATCTGGTTTCCCCATCTCTGGTGACAAAGGGCTGCAGCAGCCCTTCCCCCACGGCGCTGCGGCAGCTCCCGCCATCCTCCCGCCACCGCCATCCTCCTGCCCTTCCCCAAATCCCCGTGCCTGGGAAAACAATCCCCACTGCCCGTCTTGGAAGGTTTTAGAATCAATTTTTGAGGGGCAGCTTTGCAGCGCAGGATTTGCCCTCGGACAGGAGCGAAGCGGGGATCTCCCCGCACGGAGCTGCCCGGGCACGGATCAGGGTTAAGCGGCAACCTTGAAACACAACATCTACACACACACAAAAAAAAAATTCCCCGCCGTTCCTCCGGGCTTTGCTGCGTGCTCGCACCCATCCCACAGCCGGCGTGCAGCGGCCTGACYCGGCGATGAGCCCCGGGGCACCCCCAGAATCACAGAGCGGGGACCCCCCATCCCCAGCACGGACCGTGGGGATGGGATCTCGGCCGGCACTCGCGGGTGGCCCTGTGCCCGGCGAGCTCGGGGTGTGAGCGGATAGCGTGGCGGGGCYGTGGAGGGACGGCTGCCTTTGTGCGGAGGATGCAGGATGCGGGAGTTYGGGCAAAGCCCTTTATGTAACGCTGCCGCCCAGCCCCCCAGCCAGGGGAACTCCGGCCCCCTCGGGGGAACCAGAGCCCCCCAGGGGGACCCGCAGGCTCCCTGCTCCGCAGGGCACATGGCTCAGCCGTGCTCGGGCAAGGGGGAGCCTGGKGGAGGCTTTGTTGGGCGAACAATGAGCTCCAGAGGAAGGAAGSCGAGGGATACAGCCCTGCCCCATCCACCCCCCTCCCAGCCCCCTCCTTGTCCATCCCTGCACCCCAAGACAGGCCTCTCGCCATCCCTGCCCCACAGGGCGCCCTGCAGAGGCGATGGTGCGGGGATGGGGGTGCCGGAGGGATGGGGGGCCCCAGGCAGGCGATGCTGAATGGATGCGGGAGGGGGAAGGGAAAGGGATGTGGGAGGGATGCGGGGGGACCGTGATGGGGGTTTGGGGGAGGGACCCCGCAGCCATTATGGGGGGTGCAGGGGGTGTCCGGAGGGATGGTGGCTCCAGAGAGGGGTGTGAGAAGGGGTTTGAGCAGGAAGGGGACGGCAGAGGGTGCGGGGGGACATCCTGGGGATAGCTGCTGCAGGAAAGCAGCGGATGTTGGGGGCTGGAGGGGGCAGCGCTGCGAGGGGAGCACTCCGAGGTGATGCTGGGGAAGGGATGCCCGAGGGATGCTCGGGGCAGGCGATTCCCGAGGGATGCTGATACCCGCGGGGTGCAGGGCGCACCCCGAGCCGGCGACACCCCTGGGACCCCGGGGCAGCCGAGGTGTCCCGTCCCCCCAGCCGCAGCCCCCGGCCCCTCGTACCTTGCCGGGTGGAGACATTCCTATCGTTGCCGGCTCGCAGCACGACCTGCGGGCAGCTCTGCTCCAGGGCGAAGAGCTCGTCCTTGCCCACCTTGGCGCTCTTGCCCGCCTTGAGGGTGCCGCTGGGCCCCGAGGGCGCCAGGTAGCGGCCCTCCCCGTCGCGAAAGGCCACCTTCCCGCAGCGGAATTCCAGCGTGAAGGCGGTGCCGGGCTCGGCGGCGGGCACCAGGCGGCCGTCGCTGCGGAGCAGGCGGTGGTCGCAGCTCTGCAGGCTGTAGCGCTGCTCCACGAACAGGAGGGTGATGAGCGCATCCACGCCCCACGGCACGTCCCGGTCCACGGCCAGCTCGTCGCGGCGCGGCCCCAGGTGCGCGTAGCGCTTGCGGGCCAGGCTGTARAGGTTGGCCTGGGGGTGCATGGCCAGGTGGACGCTCCACTTCTCGGCCGCRGAGACGGCGGGGGCGAAGCAGGAGAGGCGGTCCTCGGTGCCGCCGAAGAAGCGGCGGTGGGGCTCGGACTGCAGCGACCACCGCCCGTCGCCGTGGGCCAGCACCAGGAACCGGCAGTCGGGCCCCGGCTCCTCGCTGTCGCAGCTCACCTTCCCGTCCTTGTCGGCCGCYAGGTATCGGCCCAGGTGGCTCTTGAGCAGGACGGCGCTGGAGTCCTCCCCGTCCTGCTCCAGCGTCCAGATCTGCTTCTTCTTCATGCTGGCGGCCGAGGCGTTCACCTTGAACCCGAACGCCTCCGCCGTCAGGTACCGGTTGCTGCAGTTGATCAGCCCGAATTGGATCTGCACCGGCTCCGCCGTCCCGTTCGCCGTCATCCTGCCCCGCCGCCGAGCGACACCGAGCGACCCACACCGAGCGAACGACACCGACCGCCGCCGCGCCCGCCCCGCCGCCGCCGCCTTTATAGCGCCGCGGCCGCGGCACCGCCTCCCGCACCCCCCGCCCGCCGGAGCCGCCCCTCGCCGCGACCCCCGCCCCCCCCCCGCATCGCCGCGGCACCGCAGGACCCCGCCAGGAGCAGCCAGAGCCCCCTCGAGTCGCAGGACATCACCCCCTGCACGGAGAGACCCTTCCCCGCATCACAAAGGCCCCCGTGAATTGCAGGATCCTCCCACTCAGCAAGACCCCCAGTGCACACACGGGATCCCTCCAAGCRTTTCAGGAGCTTCCTGGGATTGCAGGACACCCCCCTGCAAGTCCCCAGTGCATGGCAAGACCCCTCCCCAGAATTTCAGGAACCCCACACGATGCAAGTCCCCTCTTCATGACAAGACTGCTCCAGGCACAGTAAGAGCTCCCTGGAAATGTAAACCCACCCCATATGCACTGAAAGACCTCTCCTTGCATTTCAGGAGCATCCATGAACGGCAGGAGCTCCTTCTCCAGCACGAGTCCAACAAGGAAAGACCCCTCCCGGCACAGGAAGAGTCCCTTTGAATTGCAGGGCCCCCAAACACACATTTCACCCCCTGTAAAACAATACCCCTCCCTGAATTGCAGGTCCTAAACATTGCAAGACCCCCTRAGCACTGCAGGACCCTCCACATGATGAGACACCCCTTGCAGGGCACAGCACCAACTGGAACTGCAAATCCCTCTCCTGAAAGTGTCCCCTGCACATTCCCACCCCACTCCAAGGCACTGTCACCCCCCTGCACCCCTCTGTCCCTCCTGGGCTGTTGGCACTGCCACAGGGCTGTGGGACAGATGGGGAGAAGGGTGACGGATGCTGTGGCCTCCTGCCATCTCTGAGCCATCCCAGCACGCTGTGCCAGGCACCAGCCAAGCTGGAGCATCCTGGCTCTGGGGACTGGGTTCCCACAGAAAATCCAGAAGGAAGAATGGGGCACCCCTGTGCAAGGGGGCATTTTGAGGCCATTTCTCAGGGTGGGCAGTGCAGCTGTCTTTGTGGGGCCGTGGTGTGGTGGCACTTACAGCAGTGGTGACCTGGAGATGGGAAGAGTCCAGCCTGGAGACTCCAGTCCACCTGCCTGTGCTGCCCAGGGGTGCTCCTTGGGGACAGGGACATCTCCTGTGTCTGTGACAGGGACACAAACTGATAAATAAGAGCRGTGGCTGATTTGAACTGGCTCAAGCACAGCCCTGCACATACAGGGGGAAGCTGTCTGGGGGCAATGTACAGAGCCAGAAAACTGGAGAAAGAGGGATAGTGGAAAGGATGATGGGATGGTTTTCAGCTGGATCAGGGAGCTGACCTGCCTGTCCCAGCTAAAGCAGGACCATGAASAGCTGAGCATGGGCACAATGTGCACCCAGAGCTGGCACAAAGAATTCCCTCGGGCTCATCCAACCGGGCAGGATGGCATCCCAGCCCATCCCCTGAGGCCCTTCAGGCTCCACTGGTTCTGCCCTGGCTGGGCTGGTTGGAGCCCCTGCTCCACCCGGGGCAGCACCRCCCAGCCCTGGGGTCACTGCCACAGCGCTCCAGGGCAAACCTGCCAGGCTGGGATGGGCTTTGTTTGTTTTCCTGGAAGTCTTGGCCWGACCTGCCCTGTGCTCATCCTTGCTGCCCAGCCCTGCAAATCCAGACAGAGCATTTCCAACCAGAGCCAACCCCRCAGCCTCTTGTCTGGGCTGGAAACATCTCCCCCCAAGCTCCAGCGGGGCAGATCCGTATTTGCCCAGCAAATCCCTTGTGCTGCCCTGGCTCAAAGCCCCCCTGCTTTAGGACCTGGCCACGAGGCCGAGCAGCTGCCCCGACCCACAGCTGCTGGGCTCTGCCTTCCCCGGCCGCCACGGGCAGATGGTGATGAGGCCCAGAAAGAAACAGCTTTTCTCCTCAACGACAACAAAAAAAAAGCAATTATGCAGAGAAAGAAAAACCCACCCTGTTTTCTCCCCCCCCAGCCGGCAGCGTGGCATGGATGGGTGACACTGGTGGGTGGTGGCACCGCGTGGATGGGTGGCACTGCCTGGCTCAGCTGATCCTGTCCCTCCAGAGCGGGCACCCAGGCACMCACCCTGCCTGCCCCCGCTGCTCCTGGGGGACGGGAGAGCCCCAAACACCGTCTGACACCTCCCCACATGTCGCTGTGGTGGCAAAAGGTAACCAGTGCCCCCCTGATTTGGGGGTGCAGCAGCCAGAGCTCGTCTCCCGAGCGCATCCGTGCGTGCCGGTGCGCTGGAGCGGGAGGAGAGGCGCTGCCTTCCCTCTGTACATTGCATTTCCCATCATCTTTGCAAACCACCGTGACTAAACGCTTCTGAGGTCATCCCCCCAGCCCTCCCGCCCCGCTCCTGCACAGACCCGGTCCCTGGCACACGGCACCCGTGAGCACGGCTTTCCGGAGCSAGCGTCCCCTCGGAGGGGCTGTGACTCAGCCGCCGGGACTTCAAAGAGATCCCAGCTCCAAAGGAGAAAAACCAGGAGAAAAGGAGCCCCGGTCACGGAGTGACCCCTGCCTCAGGCACAGAAACGCCCTCGGATTTTCATGCTTGCCTGGACACTTTTTGTGGCCGCGCGATTTTTGAGCCAGCCCGGGATTTCCATTCGAGCTGGAGGGCAGAGCCGGACACTGCGGGGAGGGCGGGATGCAGGGCAGGGACGGGGGCTACGAGGGGACAGGGACAGCAAATGCGGTGTCCGGCAGTGTCTGGTGAAGATCTGGCGGGGGCAATGGGCTGCTCCAGCCCCGTGTGCCCCGGAGGGCAGCGGAGCCGTCCCAGGGCAGCMGGAGGTGTCCCCGGGGGAAGGGGCAGTGTGGGGGCAGCCAGGGGTGTTTTGGGCTGTGTGTCCAGCCCCTGCTGCCCTCCAGAGCCTCGGGCACAGCTGTGTCACAGGTCACCAACGCTGGTGTCACCGGGTCCCTCCCCCCGAGCACATCTGTCCGCTGCATTCAAGCCACACCCCAGCACCGGCCCGAGCCCTCCTTGTCCTTCCTTGCTGGAGCCACTTTGGGGCTCATTCTGAGGGGGCTGCTCGATGGTTTTCACCCCAGCACAGCGGGGACACCCTGCACTGTGCCGTGTCCATAGCAGGGTGCTCGTGTCCCCCTCRGCGGTGGCAGTGGCTGTGAGATGGCCAAGGCTGGCCTGGGACCCGCACCCCTCCCAATGCAGATCCCACCCACCCTGTGGGGCTCAGCAGGGTTTGGGGGTGCACTGGTGGYGGTCACCACCTCCCCAGCCCCCTCCATCCCGTGTGGGACAGCGCTGGTGACAACGGCGTGAGGGCACCTTGTACAGCCATAGAGATCTGCCAAAACCAGCCAGAGGAGTACTGCACCGGTGCAGGAACAAGCCACAGGCACAGCCCCAACCCCCAGGTCCCCAATTGTCCCTCGCTGCTGCTGGGGGCCGTGGGGACACCCCGGGGTGCCCCGGCCTCGCTGCCATATGCCACCAGCCAGCTCAGCAGAGGTTCTCTGACAGCCCTCCCGACAGTTGGCAAGCGCTCTGGCCTCATTAAAATTGTATTAGGCAGTATTTAAAAAAAACCAAAAAACCAGCAGCACCAGGGGAAACAAAGAGCAGACCTGAGAGAGGGGCTCGGAGAGGCAGAACATGCTCCGGGGATGTTTTCCCGTGGGATGCTGTCCCAAGGGGGTTTGCTCCTGACCAAGGGACAGGGGTGGGGTGTGATGGGGGCTCAGCCGTGTTCCAGTGTTTCCTGGACAYCAGGAGCAGTCACGGCACGGGTCATGTGGCTTGCTCGGCTTTATTAGCTGGATTTATCCCCTCAGACTAATGTGATTGCACCCAGAGAGCAAAACGGGATGGGAATCCTGGAAGAGCCTTGTTTCAAGCAGTTTGGATGGTGGACACAGGCAAAAGCAGGAAGGAAGCGGATGAGAGCACACGGACATTTGTCCCTCTCTTCCCTCCCCAGCTGGTTTTCTGGTGTGGTTTTTACATTACCAGGAACTAAAGAGAAAACCTGCCCCTTCCTCTGCCTCCCCCAAGGACCCTGCGGAGGTGGGGTGGAGGCTGGTTCATCCAGCAGGAGAAGGAATTTTATTGGGAAAGCTTAAAAGCCCTTTTGTGTAGCGGTGATTAACCTCGGGGTGGCGGGGATGATGCTCTTTGTCCCTCCTGGTCCTTGGGGGCTGTGCTGGGACACGAGGCTCTTGTAACCCCATGCAAGTGCTCAGGAGCAGGACACGAGGGACACAGGGCATTGTGTGGGACAAAATAATCAATTATCAGGGGCTGCTTTCCAGCCTTTAAAAAAAAACCAAAAACCAAAA